CAATGAAAAGAGGCTTGCAAGGGTAAAGTGGATGGCAATTTATCATTATTCGAATAATTTTCTTTTGCAATCTAATGGTCTGAGTACTACATGATGCGTTTTACCAGAATTTTATACCATATCTCAGGAGGGAATGTACGTTTGCAAAATACACGCAACGAGCTGCATGAAGGCTGAAAGAATTTGATAGAATTCTGAATGCGTAACACAATGAACTTAATTTAGTGTTTAAGTTTTTTATATTTACATTCCTTTTGAGGTTTGACTGAATTGACAGACCTAGAAATTTTGTTACCTGAACATCACCTAATTGCGTATTATTAATTTTCAAAGAAGCATGCGATTGCTGTTTTGAAAGGCAAGCATGCATTGAAACTGTTTTGCCTTCATTTACCATTAATTTTTTATTACAAAACCAATTTGAACCTTCAGGCCCTTATTTCCGTGTTTAATAGACGACGGCATATAATTTATGTATAACAGAAAAAGGATAGGACCTAAGATTGAACTTTGCGGAACCCCATATTCAATTGGTAAAGAATAGGAAAGATAAGTAAATAATGTCCTTTCGCGCCAGTACGGTATTTCTACTCTTCGAGATCCATGTTTAAGGTACGATGTTATCCAATCTAGGTCGATACCACGAATTCCATAGGAAAGTAACTTTGATAGCAAGACGTTATGGTCAATCACGTGAAAAGCTTTCAAAAGATCTAAAAATATTCCAATGGGTGCTTCATTTTGGTCCATTGATGAACCAACATCTTTAAAAAAAGAAAAAAAATTGGCAGTGTCCGTAGATTTTGATTTTCTGATTTTCTAAACCCGTGTTGTGAGACTGAAAACGCTTGGTTGTCCTATCAAGGTCTATGCGTAAAGGAATAAAAGACACCAGATGTCAAAGAAATTATATCCGCAAATGTATATTAATTAATATCATCAATTATTTTCTGAATTTTGTATTTCAATACGGTAATAGCAGATTTTAGGCTACAAAAATTTACACTAGAATGAAGAATGTTCTTGCCCTCCTCCTCCCCATTTAATTCAATTTTTCACGAATATAAGAGTAGAATATTTCAAGATGGGTCCTTTGTTTCCTCGTCGTAATGTGAATAAATACTTTTGAAGTAGATTAAATAGTGGTAAATCCATATTTATATATAAAAATATGCGAATTTTAATGAAATATCAATATAGCAATCAAATCAATATAATAATCAAGGTTTCATGTAATATCAGTATAAACACAGCGCTCAACAATAACTATAAATTAAATTTAAGGAATTACATTTTTCGCTTATCAGGGACTGGTGCAACGGGAGTAATACTCATCTTTGAAAGCGAAGATGCTGTTTGCATAATGGATGCTAGAGTTCGCACGAGGTCTGTGCACCCTCGACAACCGTTAAAATGCCAGCGTTTGCTCGAACTTCCGACAGGGGCTACTGACGTACAGCGTCTTTCGTCCTTCATCTCATCAGCAACGAAATCAACATGCGAACACTTATCGCTTGTCATCTATTGGACGGATCGCGCATGCGTTGCCGAACATTGGTAGCAACACTCGATGTTTGTCATGTAAAACGCGCACGTTACAATAGTCAGTCAAGTCATGTCAGCAAAAATATAATTATGCAAAATACTGTAGTGGGAGACTCGTCTGAGGAAGATGCCCTGCAAAGAAAATGTAATTTTCCTTTGATCAGTGAATATCAGAATATTTAATAATAGTTTTTACTTTCTCGCCTACTTCTTACGCAGTACAGAAAACGCATTGTAATGCTCCGCGAAAACTGTTCATTTTCGACAGACAAACTCTTAATGATGGGCCGTGGTATTAAAATTATTCTTGTTCCTATATGTAGTATATTTCTTATTCTAACACTGTGTGTTATCAAAATTCTCATTTGGAAAGTCCTTGATACGAAAACTACCATAGCTGTGTGTTCTTATTATGTAAAAGATATAGACGTCAGTTGTGTTTACCCGTTCTAAAATGCCAGAAAAACCGAAACAGAAATATCTTCTTTTTTTAAAAAAATGTCCAATAAATTTTATAAATTTTGTGTTGTCTGTTATACAAGTCATACCTTTTCGTGGGAAGTAATGTTTTTCATAATTTTGTCAGTTTCAAAGCAATGTGACATCATCAACTGTATGCTTCAAATTGAAAAGGCGTGCTAGAATTTTTCAAAATATAAATTATCCTTAAATGATTAAAAAAAACGTAACGAAACGAAAAAACTAACATGTAAATGAAGGGGCATAATTTCACTCGTAAATAAAAAAACCTAGCTTCTATCGTCGCTCGTTTTCATGAAGATAACCACTCGTTCATTTATACTCCTCTTTATCCATTCGTTTCATTAATTACTATAATTAGTCATCTAATTATTTAATTAGAAGCAGAGATATATTTATCTGGAGTTATTTCATATAATATTTCATGCGTCATCAATAGGATCGATGTGACATGGCAGTTTCAAATTCTCTGAATAGAGAGTTCGTGTCCGCCGTAGCGGGAAGCAATCGACTACACTTTTGTGTCTCTGCTCATGCGACAACTCGAAATCGAACTCGAAGTGTTAGCGGGGCCTACCAGGCCCTGCTAGCTCGTCAGGTTTTTACGAGCGTCTTATCTCGCATGGTTACGATCATTCAGCCATTTTACATGGAATTTGTTTCCGACTGCAACGGCAGTGTCTGTTGCTAATATTTTCATGATGCTTTTATCGCACGAAGTGTTCGTGTTTTTCATCTGATTTAGTTAACGTTTTTGTTAGTTCTACATTAATGCTACTGTTCGCCTCACAGTTTCCAATTGCCCGAAATCTTCGCCAGTTGTAATTCATTGAATATGAAGTAAAGGTTTCCCACGAAATAGGCAAAGTATCAATGAAAGTCTAAAGTGCGTAGTGAATTTATTGGTTAGGTCAAAGTGAAATACTACCGGAGAAGCAGAAATATCATTAAAAATTAAATAAAATAAAAAGGTATTTTATTATTAGTGGTGGTAAGGGTAGTTGTAGTAAGGGTAGTGGTTGTAAGGGTAGGGGTAGGGGTAGTATTAGTAGGGGTGGGGGTAGTGGTAGTAGGGGTGGTAGTGATGATAGGGGTGGGGGTAGTGGGTCAAATGATGCAAATCTGTATTAATAGGAACCCATTATTGTATGGAAGCCATTATACTATGGGTTATACTATATACTGCGAAATACTCGTAGAATAAGTTGGGAGAGCAATTAGTAGAAGCTGCAATGAAACATGGTCTCTTCTGTTTTGACAGTAGTTTTTACCAGACAGTAGTTTTGACCAGAGAAGGTTGTTCTGGAAAAGAGACGACACACAATTGACAAGGTTTGTTACTTGGAGAAAGAATTGACGAGTATTGAAGAGATTGTGCCCCATTAAAAAACAAGGCGCCAAATTTGAAGTAATTTGGCGGTCAATATGCCAACAATATTAGTCATATTAATCGGTAAATATGATAGATCTGAGTATATATTTTAATACTAATTTCTTTTATGGTCAAATGCTATATATACAAGTGATGAAAATTTACGAAAGTTTCAAATGAAGTAACATGAACAGCACAGAATAGCTGATGTCAATTTAACTGTAGCAGCACCAGAAAGCATATAATCCTCACTCTTGGTTGCCACAATTTGGACCTTCTTCTATTGCGACTTCTACATCTCGACCTAACCGCGCAAAAGCTCTTTCTCGATTTCACCCGTTATTGCCATCGATAGTGCTTTCGATTGATTTAGTGTTCGAGTTGGCTCAAACTCCCTAATAATTTCTTATTGTTAGATGGGAAAGGGATAAGGTAAAGAGACTTTATATACTTACCGTTATGGTTACGAAGTTTCTATTTTCAATAAAATGGGACATTCAACAACATAGGTCGGGAGGTATATATACATACACCTTCCTACATGGCGACTTCTTTGTATCTCACCTAGTCTTTTCTAATGCCGCTATGCATCTGACAGTCTCCTGTTCATAGTGTTCGGTGCAGCCCGAGCTCTAAATCGTGTCTCTTTACTAACTTCTTTACGAACATTGTTCTATTGTCTGATCTGTTATGCTTTCCCATTTGCTGCCGCCTTTTTTTATTTTCTGGGCTGTAAATATTTTACTACAGCCTTTAATTATGGATGCATCTTCGTTGACTTCTAATTATGCGAAGCTGTATTTTCCATGTGTGCGCTGCTAGCTTTAAACTAAAGCTAGCTCCATCCAAAAGTTTGGGAATTCCACAAGAACCTAAAATTCGTGAGTAGAGCACTTATATAGCATAAAACTAGCCTTTAATTCTGGATATTGTTTTGCTGTGTTTGATTTTTGGCTGCTGCGAGCTTCAAATGGCTAGTGCCCTACGTTGAAGGGCAGGGATGCGCGGCCAAAGAGTAAACATATTAAGCGAGCTTAGGAGTTTGAAAGGGAGCTCTCTCTGGAAGTGCACGAGACGCTGAAAGAGCGCTCGACTTTTTGATTTCAAAATTATTTCGTATTCATCGATATTGCTGCAATCACTTTAATATTGAGCGTCATGAAATGGAAACTGTATAGCTACTCCTAACATATTATAGGCACTTTTTTCGGTTATCTGGGGGTGGTGCGAGCGTGCAACCTAAGCACGACCCGTCAATAGTAGCACTTGCTGTTTCATGGTTAATATCAATCGCATATTGTGTTGTGGTGACAATATCGTGACGTGACAGAGCGCGCAGTTTGCAGTCACGTCATCTCCTCGTCACCCAACTGTCAACAGGGCCGTACTTAACGACTCTGAAAACAGTCTGTTGATTAGAGGCTCCAAGTCCCCCCAAAATCGAAATAATATTAAAAACTGGTTGCTGTGAGTGAATTGTTAATAAAATAATCTACTGTCGAAAATAACTTGTATTCCTAATTTCAAAATAGTTTTTTAAATATTTGATAAATGTTAAATTAATTTTATATTTATAGACAACATGTTAAATTTTTATTTGTTTATTCGCCTTTAATTTATATAACTCTATCAGCAATTTATTTTCATTTGTATTTTTACAAAGTGATTCTGTATTGTAATTGGTCTTTTAGTAAATCTGGAGGGGATCTTCAACTGGATTTTGCGCTCTGGGTCGGCTGTCAACCGCCATCTTGCTTTATTAGTAGCCGAGTGCCTTGAGGCCGGCCAGCACGCCCTGGAAGGCGGCGTTGTAGTCGCAAGCGACCTCGTTCTGCTCGAAGTTGTTGCGGTCGTCCGTGTAGCCGTCGTTCTCGTCGGGGCCGCCCACCAGGGCGCCGTACAGCACGTGGTAGTTGGGCTGCGTTCCCCAGTACGTCACACCGTAGTTGCAGGGGGCAGGGGCATCCGGGCAGGACCTGCAACATCATATGGCTCGGGTTAAATGTTACAATCTTCTAGTGCGTGTAGAGGGATCGAAAATGATAAAAGCTTCATTTATTGCTAATAAACATGTAGTTGGATATTTCTTCTGACGGCGTTACACATGTGACATTTGCTGCTGATTGTTAGGAAACTTATTTCACACAGGCGCGCTGCAGGTTGTCAAAGATTTTCCATAAGTGCCTGCGGAACACATATGCACAGAACGTTGCCTAGTATTCAGGGGAAAGTATCACATAAATAACTCCTAAATTTACCACAATATGTTTATTGACAAAGTGAGATTATTTGGAACCCTCTACAAGCCCTGGAAGTTTCTGATATTTATTCTGACATGGGACATCTGTAGAAAGATATGAGCGTTCGATACTGTTTGACGCTTTCAAATCTGGTGCACAGATGGTTGGGGGCCCATTTGCGAACGTATGGTTAATCGTACCATTGACGAACGTGTAAGGGGCTTCTACAACATTTGCTCCTAGTACAGTCTCACAGAACGCCTAGGCAGGTGATCGGAAGCGTGGGGAAAGGAACAATCTCTAAATTTGTGAAGGAAACAGAGCACCTCTAACTTTCGGGCCAAATGTTATGGCCCCATGCTACGTAAGGAGGTGATTGAATGCTCATTTGAAACGTTGAAGAGCATGTTTTACTAAAAAATGTTTAAAATATATTTACCCCAATTAATGTGCTTTAAAGATTCAATTATTTTGAAAAAATAAAATGAATGTCGATTTTAGATGTTGATTTCATTAATCAAAGGCTCTACAAAAATATATTCCGTAATAGTTGAATATTGTATTTCATTTCTTCATAGAATGTTCCTTTTATTTTTTTCTCAATTGAAAAATAATACCAGATAATAAGTTTTCCATTAAACTTAACTATTATTTGTGCCGTTCAGGGTAACGCTAAGGCAAAAGGCCCTTTCAATCTTGGTTAAAGGATAGTAGTTTTAAGTGTCACAATTCCCTTGAACGCGGTTGTCTGTACTTGTTTCTTTGTCTTCCGTTTACCATCCTTTCATTTCTTCCAATTCACTTTTGCGGATTAATTGGTTGATTAGTGTTTCCTAGCGCGTAAACGTCTAAGAACATAGTCCCATAAGTGGAGTGCATGTTTATGGAAAGTGGCGTTGATCTTCCCGCACTGAGTGGCTAGAACCGGCGCCGGCCTACTTGTCGGCTAGCGAAGATTCCAGAACAAAGTATCTCCTAAGAGCTGGGCACCGCCTTCGCCAGGACAAGCTCTGAGCTCCCGACTGGTCTCTCGATGATGTGGTGCATATAAGTGTAAGTGTAGGGAAGTCAGATGCGAGGATAGAAAGAGGAGGGGAAAGGAAAGATCGCGCGCGGTCCGTGGCCCGCCTTAACTGCCGCTGCATTTACCGAATGTTGATAGGAAAAGACACAAAACCAACGGAGCAGCCAGCCGCCAATATTTTTCTCTGAGAGCGGCTGAACTCGACCTAGCTATCAAGTTAGTGTTAAAAATCCTGCCACCGTCGGGACTCAAGGGACCTAGGATCTCCCGGTCTGATTTTTACGTTTACAATTGTGCCTGCAATTACAAAGGACTCTAGAAACCACCACTTCCTTTCACAAGTCAATAGGAGAAATGAGAGTTTGGGAACATTCGTTTGGGCTTGAACGTCATTGAAGTCACTTGCGCGAGTCCAATTCTATGATCAATCGAATAGATATAATGTAACGTTAATAGACTCATACTATCGATAACATAAAGTTTCACTTCCACCATTCACTGTAAGTATTGATTTCTGCTGACAAAAGAAGAAATTCTACGAAAATATCAATTATTAAAATACAGCTTTTATCATTTACTTAATCAAACGAGCATTTCGAAATCAATTTCTAAGTAAATTTTTAAAAATTCACCTAACGTTGTATGCAAGAGGGCATAATATTAACGAAAACATAATTATGCTGACACGATTATATAGGAACGGATAAATACGACAAGAGAATTTCTATAAATTATTGCTCCCAGACAGATAAATGCATTCGAACAGAACAAAACAATGTGAAAAAGAACCCTTTCACTTTCTCTTATACAACTGTCTCGCGAGGTATTGATCGGAAAAACTTCCTCGAAGCGATCAGAGCAGTCGGCTACTAGAATTCTCCTCCTGCTGAATTAGATCTAGCTATCCATTTAGTCGAAAATGTGCTAACCGTCGGGATGCGAATCCTAGGACTTCTAGCTCAGAGGCTTTGCAATAGTATAGTCAACGTGAGAAATCTCAGCCTGTTTGTAAGTCAAATAATAAAGAACATTCGCACATTAAAAAAAATCTTTGAAGAGCAAGCACTCACGCTGCGCGGTGATGCTCGTGGGTGGGCGGGTTGTTGCCAAACCCGACCACGAAGCTGCGCCCAGTGTTGCCCAGGGCGTAGTCGATCTGGGACTTGGCGAAGTTGCGGTAGGCGTCGGGGTTAATGCCTTCATCGGCAGCCTGCAAAGAGATATGTGGTGAATCATTTTGTCTTGTTTGTCATGCTTTGATATGATTGATAAAATCTCAACACTTGTTATTGAAAAACTTTAGAAAGAGAAGCTTTAAGCTCAAGAAGAACCTTGGTTCGAATAACTACCTGATTTGAATAATTTCTTTAACAATAACCCGTGAGAATTCCCAGTTCCTCAACACACTTAGCCCATTCCGTAGTTAATGGTCCCATGTGAAGCAAGCAAAGAAAGTACTGGTACCTTCATGCAGATGAAAGTGGGATCAAAAGCTTGGCGCAGGCTACCCCATAAGCCGATGTATACTAGACCCTTCGGGGTTCTCTTTTGGTTATACACCAAATTGTTGCAGAAGTTCTCCAGAACATTTCTGTAGAGGTCTCCATTAGTAAGCTTTAGTAATAGGGCCTGTAAAAAACCGGTAACAAAATAATTGACATATTTGCATGAATAATAAAAATATACAACACCTTAGGGAAATTATTAGAGTAGTTAGATTCGTAGTCGTTTTATGTTCTTAGGAGAATATATTATGATAAATGTTGCTAAAAAACACAGAAATAAGTGTTTGTTAAAAGGGATCTCTGTAAGCAGCTATGGTGGTTTTTCATGATAAATTCTTACCGCCCTGTCTGTGGGTAAAATGGTTGTTGCGTCGTCCTTGTATCGTATTGTACCAGGCCACGCATTTTGTGACTTGATTGTAATATGGGCCATCAGTAATTAGTTCAGGTATTTTTAATTGTTGATGGCATGATTTTGTGAGAGATTTTTTGACAAGATTCAGTATCTTATATATTATTAATCTTGTGCTGCTCAATATTACTTTCAAGGATTTTTCTATTTAAGACTATCTATAAACGTGTGTATAAAGTAACCAATAATGCGCCCCACTGTAAATATGAAGGGGCGGAATGAAGTATCTTTTTACCTGACTTCATCATTAATAATGAACAGGGGGCGGATTTTATGCAGTGTCATAAATTTTCTTTTGACTTTAGAACAATGGCGTTCTGTATAGAAATTAATGTTATGTTATGACAAAAGGAAATGAACTATTTTTGTACGTCATTAATTTTGCATTTTTCGACGTAATTATATGACGCCACAAACTCATTGCGAAAACAGATTGAAGTGTTTTAACAACTTAACCATAAATGTTATTTTCATTGCATTTTTATGGATATCTAGAGCAGTATTTGTTCATGAGAATTAATAAATAATCAATTTATTTGAAATAATTTTTGAAATGATATGGGAAATTCACGTAGAAGCCGAAATCGAGAAGGCAGAAATGCTATGGTTACGTAGACTCACATGTTCGCGGGATCGAATCCCGCCCCGAGCATTGACATTTGTGTGTGTTCATGTCATCAGTATATGTTCTTCTTATAGTGACACTTATATATGTAAACCATATTAAAATTGCAGTGGTAGCTATGTGAGAACAGCACGTTTTAATTTTTTCTCCACGTAAAAAACCCATGTAAAAAAAACGTTTCTATCAACACCGAATTAAGGCATTGATTATCATAATGAGAAATTATTCATTTAATATAATTTATCTAAATTATTTATTTATATAATTTATATAAATTATTTATTTAAGTATACAATTTACATAACAATATATCTTAGGGGTATTGAGTAGAAAAAGAACACAAAATTCGAAAGGAGATAATAATGAATAACATTACCGTCGCTCCCAGAAACTTTTCCAACCAACCGAAGCCATTTCTGTATTGGATGCCATAGTCCGTATAGTATTTCTCAGCCTTAGATAGATACTGCCAATCATTTGAGGCCCGGTAGAGCCAAATGGCTCCCCACACCAGCTCGTCCGTGTAATCATTGGATCTGCAATTACAATGTTTTTAGTTTTTTCTACTCTGCACTTAGCAAGTATACCATTTTTCCCAAATATGGAAAGCAATATGATGAAATGTATCACGTACAATGATACTATGAATTTAGTTTGATGATACGAATTAATTTCAGCATTCGTTTTAGTCAAGATTGTGTTTGTCATTTTCTTGCACTTTGTGTTAAAGTCAGTGGCGGTGTACTTTTTCGGGTATCCTCAAAAGGAATTTTTAGCAGGTGTAGAATGTTATTTTCTCGTGTGAATAGTATAGAGATGCAACAAAAATCATCTTGAAAATTGAAAATAATTATAAGTTTTAGAAGTACACATTTTGAGATGGTGAAAAAGTGTTTTGTTTGGTTTGTTTTTCTACGGAAACGGTCGTCGTCCATCTGGAGGCAACACTAGCACGTAAAAGTGTTTACTATGTGCTCCAGAATTAATATCTCTTATTCAATTTGACCGCAATCAAGGCCAAATTTGAGAAGGACCTTTTGATTTTGTGGCCACTTTCCATTAAGCTCCTAAGCCATTTTCAAAATTTCTTCAACAAACGTACTTTTTTTTGCCTCGTATACGAGAAAGAATTATACTATGTATAGGAGGAAGGACAGTTCAATTTTGACGTTCAGTAAATTCACAAATCGTTTTTCTTGAAGCAAAATTAACACTTTTTCATGAAACTTTTTCATATATAACTTTCTCTTGCCAGTAGTGTTAGAAATGAAAAAGTAAAAATGAACAAAGAAATAAATTGGTTCAGAAATAAAGATCGAAAATCATTGTTTAGCGGGGTGTGACGTGGAACGATCAGTAAAGGAGTAGCTTCTGTAATATTCAATTTAGCAAACGTGTTTATGTTTGTGTAGAGAATAGTTTTAAATATTGCTTTTTTTATATGTGTGAGAAGTAAGTAGTGATATGAACTGCATTTTGGTAATTCTTAAGGCTAGGGCAGGGGTGGAACTTACACGTAGTTCTCGGTGCCGATGGAGTCGGAGTACTTGCCGCGGTAGGTGTCGGCGAAGCTGAAGAGGTCCTTGGCGTGCTGGAGCAGCAGGTCGGCGTAGGCCGTGTCGCCGGCCCTGCGGAAGACGATGGAGCCCGCCGCGAGGGCGGCGGCGGTCTCGGCGGCGGCGTCGGAGCCCGGGTGCGCCGCGTCGATCTTGAGCGCCGGCCGCGCCATCGTCATGTCCTCCGGCCGGCCCCAGTACGCGTGGTCCGCCGTCACGTCGCCCACCTGCGGACAAGTTAGTTCCGCTTGGACTCTCCGTCTGACAAGGGAAGAGCACTGGCTTCATTGATGGATTAATTAGAGAGATTCCGGGCGCGTCAACGGCTAAGGCTATTGGCCCCGTAAGTGTAGTGCATTTTTCGCATGGTTGTAAACATCGATGTTTGCACCACTTGTTTATTAGCCTCGAATATTTACGCTCGCGCGCGAGCGAATCGAATTTGAGTGATTAGAATTTCCGGACGAGGCAACGGCTCAAGTAATTAGTACCGTAAGTGTAGTGAATGTGCCCCCAGGTGGTGGTGGTGGTGGTGGGCTTCCCCGACTGGATGGCGGGATCCGGTACCGCCTTATCTGTCGGCGTACGACACATGGCAAGGAGATCATACTATCGTAGGACTCTAAGCCGCGAAAACCGATTTGGCCACAACGGACCCTTCCTGCGCTCATTTAACGCCACTGCCTATTCACACCCCACAGATCCTTGCCCCGTCCTTCACGTTGTGTCCCTGTGGTAGCTCGTACGCCAATTGCGGCTGAGAATTGCCTCGGCCGCTGGTGACCAGTAAGCTCGAGGCACACTCTTCCTCTTATTCCTATAGGCGGCCAGGTGGCACTCGAGTTGCAGCCCCTCGACCCATTTCGGAGCTTACGAGCCTTGCCTCCGCAACACAACAACAATCGGGCTGGGAGAGTTCGGGAGGCCCGAGTTCGGTCCCCGTGCCGGCCATTCTAACTAGGGATTACGTGGTCATCTAGGCGAATGCCACTCAAAGGCCACGATTGCGAAACCGGCGTCGCTTGCCGAATTGGATAACTACGTGAAGTCACGAAGGTTGAGCGAATTCGAGACATCGTGTGTTCCTGATTGGGTGACAGACTAGAAAGCCCGCGATCTACAGGCGCCGAGACTACTTGCCCTCTTCGGGACATATAATGGCGAAATAGAAATTCAACAAATACTTAGTGATCAGGAGAGACCCCACCATGCCTCAATACTAAAGAAAACAACAATGTTCCAGGTAGAATTGGAACCCCCAAAGCCTTCAGACCCCCGCAGCTTGCGCATTTCGCCATAACCACCACGGTATTCGATCGTTTCTTAGCTGTAAATTAAACTAGATAGATATGGATGTTATGTTGAACGAATTTGACTTTGGCCCACCGAGGCGTTAGTCGGTTGGGGCAAAAGGACGAACTCTTCTACTTAGCTACTCTCTATCTTCAATTTCTAATTGTGTATAAAGTGTGTACAGCTATCTTTCAAGCGTGACGGGGCATTGAATGTGAATAAATGCTACTTGTTATAAATGTATTTAGGCGAATGAACATTGTGCGAAGAATCCCGCGACTTACATCCCATATAAATAACCTCTCTGAGCCATCTTTTAGGGAGGAGGTTTTACGGAATTTTCCAGTGGAGAACTTCTGGTAGCTTCGCGGCGATTGTCTGAGAAAAATTCTAATACGCAATTGATTTTAACCATTTACAGCGTCTGATTCACTGGTCTTAAAGATGACAAGGGTTCTCAAAAGCTTGGAGGGCAAAGAAGAAGAGAGAGAAACATTGGGAGAATTCAGACCGCGAGACGCGCAGAGCGCGGGATAAAGAGAGTTCCGTCCGCCGAGTGGGGCACATCGCAAAATGTGGTAGATAAAAATTCTGGTCGCCGAGAATCGCGGATCGATGCAGATGATAGCTCAGATCGTGAGTGACAGATGAGTTCATCATCGTAAAAGTATTTTTGGAACTTGTGACTGTGTTAACTGAATTCGAAACGGAATCTTGCCTACCGAAGCTCGGGGCGCATTTTGGTGTTGATGTGTGTGATACACGGACACAATCCTAATAGTCAGGCGTTGTTCTTGAAGGCGACGTCTCGTGAACTATTCACAACCTGCCACCTCAGTCGAAGGCAAATGATAGAAAGGGAAGAACATTGCGTGACGTAGGCCCGTGATGAACACTACATTATATCAACTACTCGCCGCGCCGTGAAATTGTCCGCTATCTTATTCAAAAAAAGACCCAAATCGTTAGCGAAATTTGTGAATACTAACCTCAAAAGAAGTCAGTTTTAGATTGGGATTTGACACACCTATTCTCCCAGTTCGCTATATCGTTTAATACATCGTGTAGCAGTTACCTAGACAATGAATGATAAAAAGAAAAATAACAACATTTTCATTGGATTTTATATGAATAGATTACAACTGAGGAGCAGCTACTACCTTTCTGAACGGGAGCGATCGGTAATAAATCATACAATGTAAGGAATTGGTTGACAGTGCATTAGTACTCTTTAGTATACCTCTCCTAAGAATTTCTCGATGAAACAGATAATTTGACCTCCGTTTCGGCCTCCTATAGATTCACCCACAAGTCTCATTATGTTTTAGCAAAATTAGTTTTGAATTTAAGAATTTTTTGTAGAGTCAAATTAAAAGATTGGCTATTTTTGACAGAGAGTAATGAATTGCGTGTGCGATTAACGTTCATAGAAAAACTGAAAGAAATAATGACATTGTTCTGGGAAATCGCTATAAAGTCAAAACAAGATCTAAATACAAATAAATGAATCGAAAACAAATGTTTCATCCATCTGTAATAGGTATCACTTTTTAATAGACCTCCACTTCAAAACTAAGCTCTGAAGAGATCCAGCATGACTAGATGAGAATTCAACCAAAAAATGTGAAGAAACAGTAGCAGCTGAGTTCATTATCCACCGCCTCTCCATTGTACACCAGTGTTCCCCAACAATCCACTGTGAGGTCGGTAAAATTTTAAAGGGGATTTTTGATTATCAAGAGGTCGATTGATGGGCGATATGCTTAAACAAATTATCTGTTTTATCAAAATACTATTGATCACAAGAAAAATATATTTTTCTACGAAATGGAAATATAAATAATACAAAAATAATATAACATAACCCACTGAAACAATTTTTTTAAACATTTTCTGCATATTTTGTGTCTTCGGAATGCTAGCAAGTCGTTTATGTGCAATTGTGTTACATGTTTTTGCTGATATTGCAGTATAGAAAATATCAAAGGAATCGATGAAGCAATTTTTTTTAAAAACAAGTGGTTGTAAGGAAAACGTTAGGTATTTCTGTTCTACGCACTTCATGGTATAATTAAAACGGGATGAAGCAGCTACCAATCTCCTTAAGCAACGTAAAATTCAAGGCCCACCTACCTGCACGTACAACTCGTTCTTGCTGACGTGCGCCTTGAGGAAGTAGTCAGTTCCCCACCTGACTGCGTTGCGGGCCTCGGCCAGCCAGTTGATCCTGTTGTAGCCTTCTTCGTAGTCGATTGCACCCCAAGCCAACACCGTGACGGTGTAGGCCATCGGGTAGCCGAACTTAACGAAGTCACCGGCTGTCAGGGGAAGCATACAAGCGATGGGTTCAACGTTTCCAATGACAATACATTGCAATTTGCAAAACTATTAAGCCCTTGATCATTGGTTTTTTCTTCGTCAGGAGTATAATAGTATATTTCGAAAGATACTACATATAAAAATGCAATTGATGGTAAAATTGTTGAAAAACCTTGGCGCCTGACTACAACCTAATCTCTCGCTTACTGGTTCTTGTAGGCATAAGGTCCACCGTTACTAGAATAAAGAATGAAGCATAAACGAGGTTGGGAAGAAGAACTTGAGATTTCTGACAAGGACTCGTTTGCAGATTGTACAGCCATCGTAGAATATGAAGAAGCAAATGTTGTAATTTAATTATAAGGTTGTCGAACGCTAGTTACTGGGAAGGAAAGCGTGTGTTGTACTGACCGTCGTAGTATCCGCCGGTGAGGTCCTCGCCGTTCTGTCCTCTGTCGTTGAGGGCGGAGTCCTTGCGCCAGGACACGAGCTCGTGCATGCCGTACAACCTGCCCGAGCGCTGCGCCTGGTAGAACAGCAGCGACTTCAACAGCGCCTCGCCATAGTCGTAGTTGGCTGGAGAGAGAACATTGGGTCCTTTGTTACTACCCAAAGGCAAGATTTATGTATGAATGGAGTGCACCTTCATCTGAATTTATAAGAGTTATAGGAAAACTTTGACCTCTGAGGGAAGATCAAAAGAACCCCAAAATTATTTGAGAAATATAGCATCTCTGAAATACGTTATTCACTTACTAGAATAAAAAACAACCACAATCACAGTGTGTTGTGGTATTTATTTCTAATTGAACAAAAATCTTTAACTCAAAGAAATATTAAAAATAAGTTACTATATTTTTTTCAAAAATACATGTTACTGGAAAAGTGAAACTCATCCTATAATTTTGAAAGAAGATTTCAAAGAAAATTTGAAGCGTTACTTCAAAGCACTATTTTAATCCAAAGTAGCATCTGATTTGCACGGACTGGAACTGAAAGCAGCGTTTCGAATGTACCGTGTACTTCCGCCAGCGCCAGCACCACTGCAATGGTGAACGCGAGGAGCTTCATCGTGCAGCGTTAACGTGGGCCGAGTATCCACTCCTTAGCTTATATACCGCTTCCCAGAGCATGTGTACTAAAACAGGAAAGTCTATAAATATTACTTCCTTAAAAACACGATATTCTCGCGTGCGCTCTATTGAAGGTCAAAGAGCATTAACGTGCACAGACATGTGGTGGATGCGAATCTTCAGCAGTTGGCGAGTTGCTCCTGTTTTCCGTAGCAGTGCTGGTGGTACAGGTGTATGGCTGTGTCCACATGTTTTTCAGAACATGTGTTCGAGATTCTATTTCTGGCACTCACTGTGCATTATTGTCCGAACTAATGAGCGTTAAATTAAAAATGTGATTATAAAGTAAACAAGAAAACATACATTGTTTTCACGAAGACGACGGAGAATTAATTCAAATTTGAAGCCTACTTAAGAATACAAACAATTTTTAACCCCTTTGCCGTTAATACCAAAGAATGATTATAATTGTTTATATTATTTTGTAGGTGCCAAATTTGAATTAAAGCAGATTGCGTATGTGTAATCATAAATGTTGCTGACCGTTTTATTTTCAGAAATCACAGGGTCAGTGATTGTAGGTCGCGTTTAGGTAAGTGTGACCCCCAAACACGAAGGTAAAAAGAAATTCCTCGATATCTAATTCACCAAGTATTTTGATCCGGAAGGCGACTTCCTCCATTACGTTTCTCCTGTATGAGCGCAATAAAACTACTGTTGCGGCAGAGGCACATTATCTAATTTTAGTTGTAATTCTAACGTAATATCATTCATAATATTTAATTTGTAGTATCATTCCATCTAACACTTCACAATTCCCTTGAAAAAGAAGTTAAACTAGTGGTGTTAAAACGGCAAGTACTTTCTAACCATTAGTGATGGTTATGTAATACTATTTATAATAACAATTTTTCTCCGAATTATGTGTTGCAAAACTCATTTCAAATCGTAGGACATTTGGTGCGAAAAAAAACAGAATGCAAGAAAGTATAACATTTAAACGTTAATAAATAGTACGATATTGATATCGTTGGCAAACAGATCGAAAAATATATATTAGTAATTATTAAATACAATGGTATTGTAATATTCTACTAATACATAAAAGTATTAGTTTTTATTTCCGCGAACTAAAATCAGACGTCGTTACCGTGTTATCTGTGCGGCGCAGCATTACGATAATGGGTAAGAACAACCAACATTGACCGCTCAACTATTCGTTTTCAAATTTAACACAATTTATTAAACGACGCCATTAAAAATAAAATAACGTAAATATATAATAAATAATAATAGTCATATTAAACATGATATTATATACAAATTCTAACTTACGTAACATCCAACTGCATAAATTCGGAGTGGCCGACTGAAGGCTAGCAGTCTTTATTTCATATATATTTCAAATAGATCTGAAGTAATTTCTGAAAGCTAAATTTGTAAACGTATAACATAAGCTCTAATGTAATGAACGAACAAAGAAATTATGAAATACTATACACATTCTAACATACGTAGAATCCAAATGCATCAAAACACCTGAACTTATGATCAAGAAGCCCAGTATTTGCAGAGCGGGCGATAAATATTGACGCCCAATTACTCCAAAAATACACATTGTTTCGAAAAATTTAACATGGCCTTATTTGAAAATGAGTTTTTGATGAACATATTTCATTAGGAAAGAAGTTCCTTCAAAATTTTTCAGCTCTTTCCTACAACTACAATTGATTTTTTTCAATTGTCTAAAAATCAGGTTTTTCAAATACCATGAGACCTGAACCATATTGCTAAACGTCCTTCAGAGTAAGCACCAAGAAAATTTCATCAACATCTGTGGAGCCGTTTTTGAGAAAACGTTTAAAAAACTCAAAATTGTCTGTATTTCACACAACATAAGGCGAAAAGTACTCAAACTTTCGAAAAATTGTACGTGACCTTATTTGAAAATTTTAAGGAACATTTTATTAAGGATAAAATCTCTATTTTTAATATTTTAGTAGTAGGAAGACTTTGAAAAAATTTTGAATTTTGTCAAAGTTTGAAAAATCAGAGTTTTCAACGAATATGCAACTTGTTCCATTATCTTAAACGAAAGAGCCTATCCAACAACTAAGTTAATCAAAATCAATGGCGGCATTGTTTTGAAAATTTTCAAAATGTACCAAGGACTTGATGTGAAGTACACCTCAAAATTAAAATATCAATTTCATATTCAAGTGGCCGCGACATCAGCCAGATCTATCGGGGAATATCAATTTTGGAGAAAATCGGCTGGCCGGTTTTGTCGCTAGTATTGTTCACGGACAGACGTTTTGCCATCAATCGATTTTTCGGTATCAAGGGCTCACAAAACATGGTTTCGAGCTACACCACTTGTTAGAGGATTTTTGTTTCTAAATTAAGCAACTGGATTCTAAATTAAGCGACCGTATCCACTTCTTCGTTACCAGGGCAGGTAATAAACAGTTTTTCTGCCGAAGATTCGCGGTTTTTTTAAACAGCATTACGTAACTTCCTCTTCTTAAGAACTTCCTTCTTAAGCGCGAGAAAGTAAAACACGACATTTCATAGATTAAAGCTATTAGTGCTAGAGAATGCGGCTTTAGTCAAAGCTAGTTTTTCGGTTTTGCCTCGACCTCTTTTCAGCTGTTATTTATCGGCGCCTTAAATATATTTTTTTTTACATTTTCTCAATTTTTCACTTTCTTAATTGTAGAATTACAATATGACCTTATCAATATTATAAGACGAAAACCTGTTTTTGTGTTTATTTTTGTAGAAACATTGGGAACAGTTTTTTAACAAATGTCATTTGAGTTCATTCTGAAAATGTGCAATTTTTAGTTCATTTTTACATAAAAATGTTGCATTATCTATAAACTTTGTTAGAAAAATTGTATTATCAAATGAAATAATGTATAAGACACCCGTAAAGTAAATATTAATGAAAGGAGATATGATTAAAAATAATACATTTGTTTAATATTTTAAATAAAAAATAAGACATCTAAATAGCGTTTATGTCACAGTATTCAGTGTTTTTAGCGCTATTCGTTCAAAAAATTCAAAGAAACAATTTTGATATGAATTTTGATTGGAGCATTTTTGAAAGTCTTTTCTATATATTATTACTATGAGGTTTGAGTAAAATATACACCAAATATTGCCCATATTTTACTGAAAATTGCACGAAAAGTAGTACAAATCCATAAATGTAATCGACATTAATTAGAGAACTAGAAAGAAAACAATTTCACTTCAAGAAAAAATGTCTACAATAATGTAATTATACGACGATGGCAAAATATATTAAACTTTCCCATTCATCGAATATTTAGTCAACAATGAAAATCTATTATATACGGTCTATATTATTTTGTTTCTCTCTATTCTCACTAGATATTTGCTTTGAAGATAAAGCTTTTGAAATCATTTTTGAGAAAATTTGAAATTTTTCTTTGAGATTCAAGAAAAGTGATCTTAAAATAAGTAGTTTGCAAAATCTCAGGGCCTCAAGCCAGAGCAGATTAACATTTATATAACAAGGAACCGCTAAAACGTGTATTTCTGTTAAAATCTCGAAAGTGATTTCCCGCAGCATTACACAACTTTCTATACATTTGGTATATTACTTCGTATGGACGTATGTAAAAAATAAAGTGAAAATAAAAACTATAATTATTGAAAATTTGTTTTTTTTTGGTAAAAATGAGACTTTTGCGATTGAATCTAGAGTATTGTACTCAACATATACACAGATATTTAAAAAACAAACAAAAGCTTGAGGTGGACCAGTAATCAAACTCAAGACCTTGAGTTCGTAGGTGCAGGGCGCTATGCATTGCGTTTTTAATGGCTAGGGGGGTGAATTAAAAGGGGTCACTAAACTACCCTCAAATTCAAACTTTCAAAGCTTCGAGTCGAACTACATCGACCGGGCAATATGCTTTATGGAAAAATCCTCATCTAAGCGCTAGTGGGATTCACGGACGGACAAAAATTACAAAAAAAAAAACCTTTTTCGGTATCAGGGGACCTCAAAACGTGTATTTCCGTTCAAATCTCGAAATCGATTTTCCTCATCATTACCTGTTATTTTCTTTAACTATTATTTTTCTTTAATCTTCTATTAATTTCTTTAACTATTATAACTTTCTCTATACTACGTATATTACTGCCTATATACGTACGTATACGAGAAAGTAAAAACTTGTTTGAAGTTTCGACATTTTTTGCCAGCTGTAAGTTAAATGTCACATTTCCCCTCAAGCCGTTTGTCAGATATGTACTCATCACTTTCAATGCTGTTCGACTGACATTCTGGTTTCAGAAGCTTTACTTCTTTAATACTTATTTCAAATTCGAATACTCTTTCTTTGAAATTATCTTCTCAATCTATAGAGCCAAATAAATGTTACCCATCTTACGTTCCAGCAAACATTGCCGTTAATAAAGGAGGCCGTTGAAGGGAGAATGTAAAAATATGGAATGGTGACGCAGGTATAATTTGTCTATTTAAAATGAAGATAAGTACACATGTTTTCACATTTCATTTACAATTAAACTAAAAAATAAAGAATGCTTTCTTGCACATGTACACTTTCGAAAATAGTACATAATGCATAATTCTCGTAGGAGAGCATGTTTAAAATTTTGATTATTTGACACACTTATTTTTTATTTTTTATTCTGAGAACAGATAATAACCAAGTTTAATGTGAAGGAATTGAGGAATGTATGAATTTGTTTTGGAGCTACAATCGAATGCTAAAAGCTCTAAGTTTAGGGTTACTGTCTGTACGAGTTGCTGTCGTGTTAAAATACACTATTTCAAAAACAGTGTATTAACGAGGAATGTACGTCTATCATGAAGGCAACGGTTGAGACATTCATTCACCCCAGACTATCACGTAACACCTCATGTTTCACTACAGGTAGATGTTGCGTCCCAATTCTGTCTTTAAGTTGTGCCACTCCATGCATCTTCCATCGGAGCCAAAAATGTTTTGTTTGCTTTTGATTGGAATTTTTGATTTGAGTCATATTTTCAATCTTTACTTCGGAACTCTCTTGCGAAATTTAATATATTTATGTGATTCGCTTTCTTTTTTATTTTTTTCATTTTACCCTCTCCAGTTATTCTGGAAAAGCGGGAATTTATTTACGTTTGGGATACATATTTTCTGCAACCGGTAAGGCTTTTGCAGATTGCGAGAGCGGTATCTTAAATAAACTAATTTATACTAATTTAAAACTAATTACATTTCCTCTTTGGGAATTGTTTGTTTTGTTTAGTCATATTGATGTTTAGATTAGTTCTTTGTATTGTTCTTGTTTCTTCTTTTCTTTTTGTTCATGATTCGCTTTACTCACGTCGGACATTTTCCAGGCATGATACCCTTTTCCCCCAACACACATTGCACACAGTTGTTACTAGCTAATACATTTGTACGTTCTTCACGTTTTATTTAGTTCCTCTCCCAATTTCAGAGCACTAATTTGTAGGCCATTTGGTCCATCACGGAAGTCCTCGCACGCGTGACGCCACCTCCGCCCTCAGCGAATGCCGCGCTATACCCCCCCCCGCCTCCAGAGCGCCGGCGCGGTGGCTGGATTCATGGCCCCAACAGTCTAGACAGCAAAACATCACCTTGAGAGCACAAAAGCCACTCCCCTGTCCGGTCTTTTTTCTTGTTAGTGCTGGATGTGTCACCACTAAAAGTCGGCAAGACTGAAGATACTGTACTATCAATATGTTTCTTGTTTTCTACGACACCACAGTTTCGTCAACGTATATTTGACCAGTTGCTGTTCTATACTTGAATGTGTAATAGACCACACAGGCGCAATTATACGTGTAACGTGCCGCTGTGAGTCACACTATCGTAGAGGGGGGATGCCATCACACTTAAGGTGCGATGTTCGTTTCCAGACACAGGATGCATGCGATGAATTTATTTAAGATGGCGCCAAGCGTATGCGTTACCTGTGATGTGGGCACCGGCGTTGAACCATCATCAGGGGTGGGCACCCTGGGTCGAAGGATTGCTTTTACTTACTGGCTATAAATAATACAATTTTTGTGTGATAACCCGACCAAAATGATGGGGACACGTATATTGCAATAGAAAATTGCCTTATTTACATTACTGTTCCTTCTAGTGCTTTACTCTGGTTATTGACTAAAATGGGTGTGAACACTTACAAAAATGGTGATGACTGAAATTCTGCTACCTCACTCGAAAGGATTACACGTCCATATATCGGTCGGCGGCAGCAGATGACCCGTTGAAGTACCATGGAAGTCTCCTGTAGTCGGCAGGAACACGACGCCTGGCTGAGCTGGAGATCGTCCACGGTCGTCCGCGAAATTGAAGCGTCAGGATTTTTATGTGCGGGTCTGAGGTCGTCATACGTCGCCTGGACCGCGTATTATCATTGGCAGCCGAATAATTATGCTGCACACCCTCTCGTGTAGTTTATGGGTGCTACTCCTACTGTCCTAACCCGGCATCCGGATTAAATTCCGATGCTGGAATAATGGCTGGTAGGACCTGGGGACTCGCGATCGTTTTCGTGTGGCTGTAGTCGCCGTTGAGCACGAACTCTCTTTAATAGTCGACCGCTCGCTCCAACAGTCTTTCTCCAATTCTCAATCTTTCTAGTGCCGTTCGCTCACCCGATTCCCGTCCCCATCCCTCTCGCAAAATACCCGTCCTATCACGTGCTTAGCGCGGAGCTTTCCATAGGCTAGTCTTGTACGGAGCTTCGTGATTTATTGTCACGTAGGAATTTCTGGTGGGCTACTCTCGCCTCTTAATGTGACAGTTCCGGTAGTCAGTCACCTTCTGCTACACACAAAGATGGAAGGGTGCGTTTCGGGGGCGGACGCTCGCTGGGGAATGCTGGGTTAGCGGCGCACACGCAGCTGCGCGTGTCGAATTGTGTCAACGGCGCTCTTCGCCTCGAAATATGTTAATAGAGCGTAACGCAAGGGTCGCGCTGTGCGATGGGTCTTGACGGCTCATTGCAAATGAGACGATTCTACAACTGTATGTGGCTTATAGTGTGGTTGACTTGTTAGTGAAAAGTGGTGTTTGATAATTGCATTAAGTTGATCGACTGAGTTTAAATTTTATTTTACAGTAAGTAAACACAGTAAGTGAAGGAGTACCCGGTATGCCGAATTTGAAACATTCACGAGGAAAATCCCTCAGAAATAATGAGAAAAAAGTGGTTTGTCATGATTTTGAGACTTTTGTGGTAAAACTTCCGACAATGATTGCCATAGCTGGAACAAAAGGCTGCTGAATTGACAGCTGTCAATGCCGAAAGTGTTGGTGAAATGCGTAGTGAATTACGGATTACTAAAAAGTCGATATAATAAGACAATTAGAGCAAATCTGTTGTAGGGTGACTGCGACGTATATCATACCTATTTATGTACATGTACTGCCAACATTAAATAAAATGATTCGGGTTTGCCTATTTTTAAGAGAACATCTGTGAATATTCTGTTGAGATCTGTCACCACTACCTTGCGAGAGCACAAGGCAATTTTAAGCACTCTATTAATAAAGTAACTTGTCTGAATGTTGTGGCTGTTATTTTGGGTGTATTTGAGAAATAAAAAGGAAAGTAGTATGTATGACAGTTCTTGCTGCACCTCTTGCTGGCGTTTGAGTAGGATCCTGGCGCAGCTATCATAAACTGATCGGAGGGTTACATACAAAGAGTGTTTACATGCTCAGTGTAGTTTAAGCAAACTGACTTTAGTTTCTGTGCAATTGGTATCCATTTTCACCTCCGCGATGTACTTGTAGCTTTTTACTGAGAATTAACTCTGCTTTGCTCTGTATCAGTTCTACACGGCGTTTCATGGATTATAGAATCTTGGTAAATTCTCTATTAGCTTCTTTACTGCCACTTTCGACTATTCGACAAATTTCTTTATCTGCACGCCATCTGTCCCTGTTTCAATTTTAGATATTATATTTGACTGTTGAACTCTTCTATCAAATAATATGCATGAAATTCAAAATTAACTTTATTTTACGCTTGGTGCATTTCTTACATGACATGTTTTCTTCTTAGAGGTATTCAGCTTATACCGTTGTAAGTGTACGATCACCTTTTGCAGTAATTGTATAATTCGCTTAGAATATGAGCATGTGCCACTTGGAATACGTATAAGCGATGTATCAAAGAGCTATTTGTATTTTTGTTTCTTATAATATAAACTTCAAATTGTGTTCATTGTAGTAGTTGTGATGAAGACTGAATAAATCGACGAAACATCGGGAAAGTAAATTGAATTAATCATCTGACCTAAAATCAATTATCTAACAAATATAAATCTTAATATACTCATACACGTAGAATCACTATATTTTAACAATTATAATAGTATAAATAATTCTAAAAAGTTTCAAATTTCCCAAGGTCTTTTGTTTAAACTGCGACATAATTTATCGCAGATGATGATATTGTAAAGTAATGTAAAAAGCAACTCTAGATACGTGTGATTAAATAACAGAAACAACCTTAATGCAATGGAAAAGAAAAAAAAGCTGTTTTCCAATTTTTAACTAATTAGCTAGAAAGTAATGAGGGAAAATAACTAAGGTTTTGGTACTCTGATGCTCTGCATTTTGAGGCCGTTCAACATGCCCTGGGCGGCGCTGTTGCCATACGTAATCTCTTTATGATTAGGAGAATGGTAATAAAAAGAACAATCATTTACTATTTTCACAGTTTATTGTCTGAATTTGGACAACATGAAGAGAGCAAATATGGACCAAATGCGGTCAGACCGGGTTGCTCGAAGCGAGCGTACTTTCGGACAGAGAGCGAGGGAGACGATGTGTGGTAGTGGCCTAGTAGCCCAGCTTCTTGAGGCCGGCCAGCACGCCCTGGAAGGCGGCGTTGTAGTCGCACGCCACCTCGTTGTGGGTAGCGTCGTTGCGAACGTCGTTGTAGTTGTCGTTGGCGTCGGGGCCGCCCACGAGGGCGCCGTACAGCACGTGGTAGTTGGATTGGCCGCCGTTGAAAGTGTTCCAGTCGCAGGCGGCGGGGGCGTTGGGGCACGACCTGCAATGAGATTCGGAGCTTCAGAACAGACTGTAAACAGTGTGAACGGAATTCCCTAGATACATCTTGAATTGAATTGAATTGATTATATTACATCACGCAAATTTCGCTATGCTCCTTTCACCCACCAGCGAAGAAAGGAGGAATCACTCTGGCGACTTGAATTTAGCTCAGAAGCGTCCTTTAAGCTTTAGAATTTTTTACGTGCAGTAAATCTACTACCTGGGACAGCCGGCTTCACTTCCCATTCGAAGGAAGGCGTACGACGATTCTTCGCCCTTAAAAATATACGACTTCGATCGCGTTTGAACCAGCGAACTTCAATACATGTCTCTCATCCTCCCACTACTTCTCTAAATCTGTAAACTTCATCTTATCCATTCAGTTGTAGAACGGTCATATTATCCAAGGGTAATGCCATTAATGAATGTTTAACGCGTGGAATGATTTTTGACATTGTAAGTTCTGTAATGTAGATGCCAAGATTTGGTGTCTGTACTATTTTATGCTCAAAATTTGTGAAAGAAAAAAGTTATAAAGTGAACTCCTTTAGCATTGAAGATTAGCCCCCCTGAGAGAACGAAAACGGCTTTTTAAAGAAATGTTAATTAATTTATTGGAGAAAGAAAATCTTCACGCTACTTTGGAGAACGTATAACGTTTTCCTCTGATACGTGTTGAATAGTGCAAACTTAGAAAAACGTTCTAAAAGACCGTAGCCCTTTATGGAGTATAGATATTCTCCCCATTAAAATGTTTACACTGCTTATATATCTGCCACAAAAGTAAAAAAAGAAACTTTCCAATAGAAAATTTTACAAATGTTTAAAATGCTCGATGGCTCATTAAAATACGCATCTATATTTAGAATTAAGAGTAAAAACTACCCGTTCAATAATGGTCAAACTTACACATTCGTATCTCACCTATTTACACAATATATCAACAACTTATTATTACAAGCTTTGTCCATTTAAACCAATATTACGATTCCGAAATGGATTCCCTTGTAACAAATATTTAATTAAATTTCCTGACCTCCCACTCATTATTAAAAAACAAGAACAACAAAATTAACAATTATATCGGAAAGTCATTAAAGAATAATGAGGAACCTGTGGGCTTCTCATATTTCTATTTATTAAAAAGAATGATTGTAAAACCTTTTTGTACGCTTATCAATGCAATTTTGAATTTATTTATTTGTAGTTGTGTTTAAATTGTCAAATAACTGAAAACAATTCCCGAAGAGCCTGTGGAAGTAAATGAAAAGAAAACAGAAAACCAGAGTGGCGATAGTGGCGCATTGTCGTCGTCAAGTACTCACGCTGCGCGGTGGTGCTCGTGGGTGGGCGGGTTGCTGCCGAATCCGACGACGTAGCTGCGCCCAGCGGAGCCCAGGGCGTAGTCCATCTGCGACTTGGCGAAGTTGCGGTAGGTGGCGGAGTTGATGCCTTCGTCGGCAGCCTGCGGGGAAACATTAGGTCGTATCATTTCGTCAGTGGAACGAAGCCTTAACATTAAGTATTCTGGAAGTCCAACGCCTTTTGGGAGCCCCTCGGCCGTCCCGGGACAAAGACACGGACGCACGACATCGGCTGTACGGCAGCTGTTTCAGCGCTGGAAAATGGTGCAAGGCGCCGATAAGCCACTTTTCTGTTCTTCACGAATATATACTACATATACTAAGTATAGTTGTGTAATTCGCGTTTGTTCGTTCGTTCGTTCCTTCGTCAGTCACACGAAACTCACCGTTAGACGTCTTCAGTTCTATCGTCGCGGGTAATCACGCATCTCCTTTACTGTGGGGAACGCAATTTTTTCGGATCGAATTAATCTCCATACAGTAATGCGTGAAGAGGAAACTTTGAAACCCTTTCTGGGCATATTGCGCGCACGAAGAAGTGTGAGATTTGGCGCACTTAAAGTTATACCAAATATGCAGAAGGATTGCTGAAAGCTTAACTTTGTACGTAGTATGTGTTGCATATATTTTAAATAAAAATAATACAATGGTCAGATGCAACCCGCAACACATCGTGCATAACTGGGAGAAGATGCATTTTAGAGCATTAAAACCAGATTTATGTGTCCTGTAGTAACACAGATTTTGTTTTTCTTTCTCCTAATCAACAAAATGAGAATTTGTGACGTTTTATTCCGAGCTTAGAACTTAACAGAAAGTTACTCTCTACGCTATATTTGTATTTGTCTACGTCAAAAGCATATTGTTAACAGTATATTTGACTTCTGGAGGGATTTGCTTTGTTGGTGGTTGAGGTCGAGAGACCAGTTTCCGTTGCCTCCCCCCCCCATGAGGGAGAACTTAAATACCCCCCTGTTGGTGCGTCATCAATGTTAAATAAAAATAATTTGCTAAAATAATACAAAAACAGTTATTGTGTTAAAGCTGATACTTCTCAAAATATTTCATTTAAAACTTTAAATTGTTTTTTAACAGTTAAATATAGGTTTAAAAATTATAGTATTTCAATGTCATTTACGTCCACAAATGTGCGTAACTTTTTCACGAGTTCTAGTAGTGTAATTAAAAACCTCAAATAAATTAGTATGAAAATAATTTTAAAATTGGATAAATCGTCGGAGACGTCGTACTACGCTCATTGAATTGATTGATTAAATCACATGAAGATGTCAATGTAAATTTAAATTTAAATTTCCAAGGAAGTGTTGCAGTTAACATTAAATTAACAATGTGACAATGTATTAAGTCTCTTCTTTCTCATGTAATTACTGCTCCTGGAGGAGGAAACCACACCACTATCTCCAAACGGGAAATAAATTATCAACAATTTTAATAAATTTTGTAGATTTTAAGCTTACAACCTTTGGACTTGTCAATTTATAGAGTATCATGGACCAAAATTAATATAATATTAATTCCTAAGAATCAAATATAAAATTAAATTATATTTCACCGCTTTCCGTTCCTAAGCAGTGAGTTATGTTTCAATCCAGTTTCAGTTCCAGAGCAGAGAATCTCAAAATCCTTTCTCTATTACTCTTCATCAAAAGAGAGAAATATTTTGATATAATTTGCTTGTGGTGACACAGAAAACTTCCCGTAGTGTTAATATTATTAATGGTAGTGGAAGTAGTGTATTGTCTGATTTACAAAATATTAGTGGACTGCAGCAGGAAAAATGCTTCTGAACAAAACCACACTAATCAGTTTTTTAAAGTGAAGCATACACTTTGCTTAAGAACGCACTGATGCACTGAGTATGAGAATTCAGTTAGTACTCGCAGGCTGGGAATAGGTGAAATGAGGCAATAAGATATGAATATGTATTGGTCAAAATCGAATTTGTGTGATTGTTCACGAATTTTCCTGGGTATCTAACGGCACCACACATATCTCTTTCACGGCTGAAGAGTTTTCTTTCAATTTCTGTGCGCATTAGAAATGAGTAAAGTAAGAAATAAATTCGTACCTGCATGCAAATGTAGGCCACGTTAAGCGAGTTGCGGATGCTGCCCCATTCCCCAAGGAAGGCCAGGCCCTTGGGAGTCTTCTGCTGGCTGTACACGAGGTTGTTGCAGAAGTTCTCCAGGACGTTCTTGTAGGTGCTACCCTTGGTCAACTTCATCAGCATGGCCTGAATATGAGTTGAATGCTCGTGGTCAGAGACATGTTAACTAACGTAGTAATTTAAATAATCAGAATAACAGAAAAGGTTAAGAACAGTATTACAATAATTAAATCTGTAATCATTCTTTGATTTCGTTGTCTTCTGAGATGAGTGAAACAAGCTCAGGAATCTTAATTAATTTTTACATGTAGTAATTTGTTGATAAATTTATTGAACCGTTCTAGTTTATACTAGAAATATAACGGGAGAATACAGATGTGTAAAAACTTCATATATATTGAGTTATTAAAATATATTTCAAATTGTTATTATTAATATAAAGATTTTATATTAAAATATATATTATCTCTTGCTATCACATCAATGAGAATTGTATAGAAATCACAATAAGTATTAGCACGTCAGTGCAGGGAACTTGAGAATACTCAGCAATGTTTGATAGGTATTGAGCATTATTTGAATTAGAAAATGTTTGCAATGTACTTACGGTGGCGCCAAGGGACTTGTCATCCCAGCCAAAGCCAGTTCTGTACTGAATGCCAAAGCTATTGTAGTACTGCTCAGCCTTAGTAAGGTACTTCTGATCATTAGAAGCACGGTAGATCCAGATGGCTCCCCAAACCAGTTCGTCGGTGTAGTCGTAAGAACTGTAAAAGTTAATTACATGTTGTTTTACAACAGGTTATTAAATTCAGATTTGCCTGCGAGAAGATATTGGAAATTTTGTTAAGAATGAAGAACAAGTCGTAAGTAATGGGATACATCAAACTATTGTGAAAATTCTTCTACCATTTTTCATTTGAATTGTTGATTTTTATTTCCAAGTATAATTGTTTCTTGAAAATAAATCCTACAAAGATCCTGATCATAATTTTAAGAAGCATGAACTTATTAACTTCATTTATACCGAGTACTTCTAAAATGGGTTTTATGTATATTGCAATAAGATAGGATAATGTATTTAATTGACTGTCCGGGTGACGCCATGTCCATGGCAAAGGTGCCGACGTTTCGGTCGCCATTCTGCGACCTTCCTTAGGGCGTAATTGGAGGAATGGCGACCGAAACGTCGGCACCTTGGCCATGGACGCGACGTCACCCGGACAGTCAATTAAAAACTGACTCCGGCCGCGGAAGCCTACGCTCTCAAGATAGGATACTATATTTACAGTTTTTAATATATCAAGAAGATAAAAAAGTTGTCTTGTAACGTAAATAACATGTACGTAATGGCGGGCGGCCACTGGTTAGGTCCTTGCAGTCACATGACGTCAACTGTGTTGCAAGCAGTGATGCGCGTAGTATAAAAATTTATTCATAACATCAAGTATGATGAATTACGGTTTAATACAATCGAATACTTGATTTTTTAGTCAAAATCAAAACATAACTAATTTCCCCCCCGAGTTCATGGGTATCTAACGAACAACTCTACATGCCGGAGACTACATTATTTTCTTTCAATTTTTAGAATTAGTTGTTGAAGATTGTTGATTATAAAAAATGAATTATTTTGCTTAATTGTTGTAATATTTGAAGTGATGTCAAATGTTTTCTTTTCATCTTCTAATCATTCTCAAATGCTGTTTTAAATAAAGTTGAAATTGGTCTGTTAATTTGTAGCACATAAAGTACTTGAAACAATTCGACTAATATTTGATTTATTTCACTAAGATTTAAAATATTTTCTAATTATACCACGGGAAAGCAACGCGACTCTATTATTTCTAAAATGATTAGAAATCATACCTGTAGAAGTTCTTTGCGTCGGTGATGGAGTCGGAGTACTTGCCGCGGTAGGTGTCGGCGAAGTTGTAGAGGTCCTTGGCGTGCTGGAGCAGCGTGTTGGCGTAGTTGGTGTCGCCCGCCTTGCGGAAGACGACGGAGGCGGCGGCGAGGGCGGCGGCGGTCTCGGCGGCGAGGTCGGAGCCCGGGTGGCTGGCGTCGATCTTGTAGGCGGTGCGCGACTCCGTCATGTCCTCGGGGCGGCCCCAGTAGTTGTGGTCCTCTTGACCAACGCCCACCTAAGACACAGGAGATGTGAGGAATGAAAATATGATGCAGTTATTTAAGGGCTGAGGCGTAAGTCCTATAAACTATTCCTTTTTTACGGGCCGGAAACATGGAAAATACATCGGGTTGAAAGAGTACGGACTTTTTAAAAAATATGTAGCGTTCAACGCTATTAGGAAAGCTTCGTTGTACGTTTGAAAAGCAATTTGCACAAGATTTCATTGTAAATGGCACGCTAGAGATAAATTCCCATAATGTCACATTCTCTTGGTTCGCATTTGTTCGACTAGAGCTGCGCACCAACTAACGATTTTGTGATTACACTCGTTCTGATTAAGTAGCATTTTCTGGGTGAAGTAACGTTGTTATACATTAGCACTCACGATTAGCGTAAAATCAATTTTAACTCCAGAGAATTGGAATATACTATACGTCAATAGTACCAGTAATTTAAAATAAAATGTTGACAGTATAAAACTATCCCAATCTAAATTCTAAACAGCTATTGTTTTTATGCCTAAGGTCATTATATTGTAATAAATATAATACTGATAACGGTACAAATATATTAATAAATAAGTGTATTTTATCTCGAACGTCGTTGATAACGTTTTGTATATGTTATTCGAATGTTTTGGTATAAAATTTTGAATTTAAAGAACGGGAAACGTACGGGGTTTAGCAGGGGCGGCGACCCTGTGCGTGGGAAAGGAGGGAACGATTAAGGAAGACGATAGCGTAATTCTATAAATTCCATTATTCGTTACCCAAGTGGTTTCTTCATATTTGAATTTACGGAAAGTATTAGAATGTTTTAGATTCACTGGTACTTTATTCCAGGCTCGGAATTGGTGAATTATCTACCGTAGGAAGTTGTGGTGTGATGTACACAAACTAATACTACTATTAATAAGTGTATACGCCTAATATAAGCTCGAGGGGCTACGAGTACTCACCTGGCCGTAGAACTCGTTCTTGCTGACGTGCGCCTTAATGAAGTAGTCAGTGCCCCACTTGATGGCGTTGCGGGCCTCTTGCAGCCAGCCGATCTTGGAGTAGCCATCGGCGTAGTCGATCGTGCTCCAAGACAGCACGGTGATGGTGTAAGCCATGGGGAAGCCGAACTTCACGAAGTCGCCAGCTGACAACAGAGTGTACAATGTCTTTGCTGTGCTGAAAAGTGGCGTTGAAACGGAATATTTTCCTTCTGCGCCGTAAATGTATCAATTGGCTGCCACCAAATAATATTTTAAGGTACTTTAGTTGACTACTTTTATGTAACAGATTCTCCTCTATGTGTTTAAATATGTTCGTGTTTACCTAAACTCTAGAAATAGCAAGTAGTTGTAAACACGTATCCGACTCAGATCTGCTCGATAACTTTCAATCCGGCTTTAGAGGAGGTAGAAGCACACAAACCGCTTTATTGAAAGTAACTGAAGACATACGAAAAGCGCTAGATGATGGCCTCGTAACTGTATTAACTCTTAGACTTTTAGTAAAGCATTTGACTCTGTTGATTACGACATCCTAATAGTGAAGTGCAAAAATCTAAGTTTTTCTGATTCCACCATCTCTTGGATTACAAGCTATCTCTAACAATAGGCAACAAATATGTAGTAGGTTGACGATCTCCACTCCAATCAAAACTCTCCACCGAGGAGTACTTCAGGGATCCGTGTTAGGGCCACTGTTCTCTTAATTACATGAATGACCTATCAAGCGAACTTAATGTAGTCATCATATGTACGGCGGATGACCTGCAAATTTATATCTCTGGAAAACATCAGAGGTAGAAATGCTGATAAATAAATTAAATAATGAACTCTCCTCTGTAGTCAAATGGTCAAGTGAGAAACGGAACTCAATTTAAATCTTACAAAATCACAAACCATCATAATTGGCTCTTCTCAAATGCATAAGAAACTTGAAGGTTCATATTGTTCCTGGTGTGCTTATAGACAATGTTGTAGTACTTCGTCATAACACAAGTCAAAAACTTGGCTTAATACTTGATGATCGTCTAAAATGGGAATATCATATCCGAAATGTCGTCGGAAAATTTATGCTCTTTGCAATCCCTTAGATATATCGATAAATGTCTCCCTACAAATACGATAAGAAATGTGTGCGTAAAACCCTGCTGTGGTCCTCATTTCGACTACGGGGATATTGTGTATAACAATTTAAAAGATTCACGTCGCTCAAACTCTACAGAGGACTCAAAATTCCTGTATTAGTTTCATTTATAACATAAAAAAATACATCACATTTCTGGAGTTTAATAAACAGCACAAAATATTAAACTAAAGCGATAGGGCGCTTGTATCACAGCCTTTCTGTCTTTTATTTTAAGATGCTAAAAATGGGTTCCCACATACCTAACCAAATTATTGTACACATCGAAATCATTCTAGATTTCACAGAATGCCCAGTAACTCCTGCATCCAAAAAAGCAAAACAGCTACCCAATAAAACCGTTCCCAATTCACTGTAGGCCGCGAATGGGAACAAATGCCGTCCCACTATTAAAAATCTTCTCTTCACTTAACACTTTTAAGAAAGCACCTGCATGATTTTTTACAAAGAAAAATACACCATTTTTGCTGTTAAAATCACTTAATTACGGGGTCAAACTAAAAATATTCTTAAGGAGTTGTATAAGATATATGTGTAAGAAATAACATTGTTTTTGCTAACCAAAAAATGTTAGCTTCTTGTACCTGTTTGATACTCCGGCCGAAATGACTTTTCACCCGTAGGAGCAGAGGGCGGTTAAACAAAGAAAACCACCCTTGCCAGCATTGGACCGCGCTGCGAAACTACACCAAAGCACCGTTACTTCAGTTAGCTAGTTTCCATTGTATTAGGACACAGTCGCCTGTGTGGTTTTTCTCCCGACTTAGCGGTTTTCCTCCCAGCGATTGACGACGTGCGTGATGGTCTTTAATGTATACATAGATCACAGGTCGCCGGGGTGAATCCAGGCTGCCGCGTAGTGCTGCGCAGATATTTTTAAAGCACATCAAATCTTTTATTTATATTCAAATTGTTTTTCAAGCTCGAGACTGATTTTAAAATTATTTTACGGAAGATTCATTCAGTATAACCAATTTATACCATTAACCTCTGATTTCTCTATTATAAGCTTATGCTTTAAAGTAACGCTTTGCTTTCCACAAACTACTGTTACAATTTGAGATTAGCATAAATTTAAATCTTAAATAACATCACTTTTTGTAATTTAATACATTACTCTGTATAATTTGTGACATGTGCGTCAGGCGGTAAGAGCGGGCCTGCTGATGGCCCAAGCCCGCATATTATAATAAAGGCACTATTATTATTATTATTATTATTATTATTATTATTATTATTATTCTAAAGGTCTATACTTTCAATTGAATAGATGTTGTTTCATTATTCACCTTCTTAACGTATACGTGTGAAATATCTTGTGGTTCTCATTTGAATGTTTCGTAAATTTGAATAATAAATAATTAGAATCCATATTGCTATTTAATTGTTGTTAGTTCTTTTTTTTAAATTTTGGACGACCAACAATATACACTTCCATGAACGTTTACGCAATACTTTAATTTATTTGTGTATTCATCCCACGTTGCGTAGACTTTTCTGTATCCCTCATCAGGTATTACTGAAAATTTGATTATAAAAATTGTTCAAAAAATTCAAAATTATTTTCACAATAAGTAAGAAAAATAACGAATAAATCTCTACTGTTCTTAATCCAATGAAAGCTATCTAGAAAACTAAATGCACAAATTATAAACAAACATATCTTAAGTTTTAAATACGTGGTGGAATGCTGTCAAACGACATTACAGTTGAACGTTTGTATTAAGTAGTTGCAAAGTTGAAGGAGTAACGGATCTTAGGTGAAGGTGAAATTTCGAAATGTTTGATCCCAATCATAAGAGGGGGATGATATTGCCGAAAAATAAATCTTTGTAAACTGATTGAATTCTAAAAACATATTCATGGTATTCTGAGTTTTTATATTAAATATTTCTAGTATTAGTCTTTTATTTCTGTTGGGTTCGTCCGCCATCATACGAAACTGAATTCTGCCTATTCGTAACCTCTTTGATATTTTTTCTATGTTCTATTATTCTCTGTTAAATTCTTAACTCTGTTTGGCCAACATAATTCAAGTGACAATCATTCTATTGCATAAACTGTATGTATCATATCATGTTTAGGTATTCTCTCTTTAAACTTTTTTATACGAATCTGTTTTTTAATTGTTGTACTTTTAATGTTGATATTGTACCTTGATTTTAATTGTTGTAACGGTATGCTCAGTACTTTTACAAATGGAATAATTACGTTGGGCGGAGTTTGAATAGATTCAATGGAAAGGGTGCCTACCATGTTGGGCGGAAGTCTTAAAATTATGTGGACTCGTTGAAACTCAGGGTGCGGCACTCGTAAAAAGATTGATTAGTGATCCCAAGCGCGTCAACTGCTGAATATTCCCGTAAGTGTAATGCGTGTTTTTATCGCGGTGGCATTGATATTCTTCCGTTGGATTGTGAGATTCGGTGACGACCCACCTGTCTGCTAGTGGAGTTTTCCCCCACTAATCTCCGTTTAGCAGAGCAAATGGCCCGTTTGTTAGGGTACTGCTTCGGCATTCACCTGGTATTGATGGGAGGAACCACGGAAAACTATCGATCATAACATCCGTCCGCTATCATTCTCCTCCAGACAGCGACTGGACTCGATCTATGTGACAAGCTAGTCTCGAAAATCCTGCCGCCGTCGGGACTCGAACCTAGGACCTCCCGGTGAGAGGCACTGCACTGGCATCAGTTGGTGGCTGGGCCGCCTCTCCTGGCGCTCAAGGAAAGAGCCGGCAGCCGGGCGAAGGGCGGTGGCATCTGAGATGGAGCTCAGTTCGTGTGGGGCGACGGGCAGCGCGTGGTGTATTCAATACAATTTGTGCGAGCTGTGTCGATTGCGCTTTTATGATAGGTGTGCGAGCGTGTGTGCGTGTGTTTCTGTGCGTGTATGCGTATGTTTGAATGAGTCTGTGTTGTGTTCGTGCGTGTGCGTATACGTGAGTTAATTTGCATATGCGTGTATCTATGTTGATGAGCATGTACAAATGTATGTGTTCGTGCGTGACTATGCGGGTGTGTTTTAATGGCAAATCCACACTCTTGGTTTCCCCAATATTCAAAATTGATTCCAGAAAATGAGAAATATTGTACAAAGTGACTGCAAAAACGTAAGGTTTTCTGTTCGGAAATGAAGGAGAGAGTATCAGACGAATAAAGCATTAAATAATAAAAATTTCCGTGAACAATAGAAATTCCTCACATTTGTTTGCTGCTTATTAGCATAATGTCACATAAATGTGAATTGCCAAATGAATATTAGAGAAAACCATCTTTACTAAAAAATAACAAGGAAATGCAAAACGTTGATATGTCTATAAATGTGAGAACTGTTCAATAGTACCAACTATCTTTAAGGATGTTCCTTGACATTAATTAAGCCGGCATTGTGTTAAGAACATAATTTAATTAACACTTCAAAAAGTATCTAGAGTAAACCTTGGTTGTCATTTATCTTGTAAACATTAAATCAGTTTTTATCTTTATGTTTGTATGTTTGAAAATATTGTTACGTTGTTCATGGTAACATAGAATGTCTTAAGAAGTTTCAAAAATAAAATTTCTTAAAATATTTTAATTAAGGAAAATATTAATGTAATATTTAGCCAGTAGTAAGTATTGAAATACGTATATAAAGTAATATGCAATTACATCACTGAATTTCCTTAATACATGAATGTACAAGCAATTGGGCAAATTGCAATTTGCAAGTACAAATTACTCTCTAAAATTGCTTTTAGTTGCAGGCTTTTTAAGAAAATTCAACTGTATGCAGAGAACCAGTTGTCTCAATGCTACAGTGGGTGTACAATTCTAAATTAAACTAATTAGAAGAGCAACACATTTGTGTATATTCCATTACTTTACTTTGTGTAAACTCTAACAGCATTGACGTTACTTTTTAAATCAAAATAATCCAAAATCCGGATACAAATATTGGAATAAGAGGCTCAATATTGCTTCCCATGGCCACGATTGAATGAAGGCATCAAACAATAAGTAGTTGAACATGAATATGAAAGCTAGAGGGAGATTTTCGATATTTTATTTTAAATTCAAAGTATAATTCTTTCTTATGTTTCCAATTGTTAACAATAGATGTGGGATTGTATCATCATATGATTATGCGCTTTTTAAGTGGATGTCAAAGGATTTCGGGGATTCATGTAGAACTTAAAAGATTTTTATAAATATAGTGTTCTTCACTAGAAATGCTAATCAGTTGACTTGTTGATCAATTGGATGAATCCGTCCATTTACCAATCTTACCAATTTCTCAATGATTTGGTCAGTCTACTTACGATGTGTTGTTGAGAAAACGTAGTGTGCCAGGAAAGTCAGTGGCTGGCGAGAGTGCTAGCAATAGAAGTTATGAAGGTAGCCCGAATTGTAGGTTATAAAAAATGAAAAGTGTGGTCCCCATTACTTGTTTCCCAGTGATCGGGTTGCTACAAAAATAAATGCAATTGCTAGTAACCGCCCGTTATTTGGGACAGTCGGGAGAGACTTTCCTGGCACACGTTACTTACCTTTGTGTTCTAACAATCAATTGTTTAATATTGAGATAGCCATTTTACCAATCATCGAGATGACTAGTCAATTAGAAGTACGTGAGATGAGCTCTCACCATCGTAGTATCCGCCGGTGAGGTCCTCGCCGTTCTGGCCTCTGTCGTGCAGGGCGGAGTCCTTGCGCCAGGACACGAGGGAGTTCATTCCGCTCAACTTGCCCGAGCGCTGCGCCTGGTAGAACAGCAGCGACTTCCACAGCGCCTCGCCATAGTCGTAGTTGGCTGGAGACAAATAAAACACGACCAGATCGTTAGTACGAAGGATACTATTACCTCGGGAATCTTTGAAACAATTTGGAAACTCATTTTGAACGATATTTGAAAGACGAAAGAATAATTTCATTGCCATGTTTCTATGATTTAAAAAAAATTTAAGGTCGTATCAACTACTAGGTCATTAGCGATCACTATTGCGTGTAACGATATCGTAACTACGCTGATGACACGATATGATGACGAAAGGACGAACACAATACAACCATGCCCGAGGCGGGACTCAAACCCTCAATCCTTCGGTTCGAGATCGCTAAGGCACTACTGCCTTAGCGATTTCGGCCATCCGGACCGGCAATGAACTAATGAAATCGAGCAAAATATGCTTTGCCAAAATAGACCCTTCTATTTATAAGAAATATTTTTAATAGAGAGTCATCAACGATAAAAGTGAGATTGATATTTGAGGGCTGAAGGACAACGATATGAGAGAAATATTCATTGTACGAGCATTCGCATTAACATTATTTCGTTTACATTTTTTAATAAGAAATGTCAAAAGAAGGAAAAGTACAATTTTGGTTTGTCGTCAAAGCCATCTCCCTACATGAACATTTTTAATAACCGTCTTGATATACAGATTTTGCAATGCTTTAAAAGAGTTTAAAGTTCAAAAACTATTTGAGATTGAATTTGCTTTAGTTTTTATTGCACATATTTTTTTTCTGAAAATGGAAATATTAACGCCTCTAAATGAAACTAATTTCTCCTCTTACGAAACTTGTAATAATAAACTTTAAATACCCTTTTTGAATACATGAAAAAATTAAAAATAATCGGGTGAAAGACTATTAATTTATTTCCAATCATTTTTAAAGATCGAACTTTAGATGCATGAGTTAAAATTTACGATATCAGTTTATAGGAGTTAGCGTCGCTAACAATCCGACAGTGTTGTTTCTTTTGTTGTAAAACCTGTCATTGTTTTTCAATTTAATTTCGATTTGAATTAATTTCAAATTGAATTTAAATATTTAGTTCAAGATTACTACACTCTGTTTAAGTAAAGTAGAGAAGAATATGTAGAAATGTGCGTGATCTGGGCTGTCCGGGTGACGCCGCGTCGAAGGCTGTGTTGCCCACGTTTCGATCATCTTGTCGTGGTCTTTCTCAGAGCTGGAATGCCCAGATTGCTCAGGCATACCAGCCCTGACGAAGACCACGACAAGATGATCGAAATGTCGGTGTCACCCGGACAGCCCAGATCACGCACATGACTCTGGCCGCGGAAGCCTAAGACTTCAATATGAAGAAATGTTTCGAAAGATAAATATTTGAACCTTCGAAATGGATCAATCCCTCAAATCAACAATTCTCCACAAACTTCGAAGAATCTAGAAGATATGATTCACTACTAATACAGCTAAGTAATAAGTCTAAAAGGTGCAACTACCCGCTACTCGTTGCTATACAAACGTGTAGCCGTGCGAGAGTGTGGGCGAAGGGAGTGCTCACCGTGGACGGCCGCGAGGGCCACGACGAAAGCCAGGACGAACGTGAAGGACTTCATTGCGCCGCCGCTTCCTACCCTGCCACTCCCCCGCCGCACTTATATACGCGCACACCTCCAGGCGCATCTAACGCACCCAGCCAACGTTGACACAAATGGCGTCGACGCATCGGAGCGTGCGCCGGCGAAGGTCAGGCGGCCAGAAAGCTGTTCGCGTTTCTACTCGGGTTCCAATGAATGTCTTTCTTGATGCGCGTTTATAGGAATGCTTTTGTTGTTTGTGGCTTTGCTGATTATACAGGTGCACGGACGCGAAAAGGTCTGTTCCTAAGGAGCCCAACCCCTCGATCAAGTTCAGAAAATCACTGTGCTGGAAAGTTGAGTGCAAAATTCCGTGATAATGTAAACACAAATGAGAGTGCAGTTATTTTAGGTGAGTCATCGTGTTCGGATCGTCACTTCTGTGAAGATGCAAAGGAAGGGATTGGGATCAAATCACGATCACTAGAAAAATTAAGCCACCAAGCAAACTATAAGTTTAATGAATTTGGATTTAATTTTAAACTGAACATTTTGGGAGTAATTGGTATTTGGCAGAAAGCTGTAATTCAATATCAGTTCATAACTAACAATGGGAGTAAAACTAAACAAGAAAAGACTCAGCTCGCTTGCGTGCAAAAAAGTAACTAGTAGTACTACAGAATGACAGACTTTCCCGTATTAGTTTTCTATTATCTTTGGTGTCGGTTAGCAATTCGAACTTGCCACATATTCTTGCCTGCTGCCTTCTATCATCGGCCCAAAGTACATTTTTTTAATTTTCCTAATTTTTCAGTTTCCTAATTGTCGAGCGGAAATATTATTTTAAGATCATTAAAGACTAGTATACCTCTTCCTAAATGGGAATTTTCTTTAAAAAATTTGGAGCCGATTTTAGAAATCTGTCGTTTAAGCGTTATTGTAAATTCGAAATTTGAAGTTCTTTTTCACAGAAAAGTTTTGAGTTTTTGAAAAAATTAATTTGAAACCATTTTAAGTACTTTAACTCACAAATAAAACGTGTATTCAAATTTCTGGAAATGTGCATATCAACGGCGTGAGAAATCTTTCAAAGAATTTATATTTGTGTAATTTTTGAAAAATAATCACCAAAATTAACTTTACATCATATTACAGAGTGCAATTACAACTATTCTTTCGAAAATTTTGAAAAAAAATATTGAAGCCGTTTTTTAGAAAATGTCTCTGGAGAGTTTCTGAAAATACGGAGTTTTGAACTAGTTTTCACAGAAAGTGATGAAGTTTGCGGGAAACTTTATATGACATTATTTAAACTACATATACTTATAAATACAGTAATGTGAACAAATTCCTGAGAGTGTAAATATTAACGACATGAGGGACAAGAAAAAAAAACATTATTGTAATTTTTGAAAAAACAAACCACAGGAATATAGCAATATGGAGTTTATGTGATCTCATAGAGTACATTTAGCACTATTCCTGCTAAAAGTTTAAAGAAAAAAATTGGAGCAATTTTTGAGAAAATCTTGTGTTTGTATTTTTTTTTAAATTGCACATATTGCACGCAATATTGCGCGAAAATTGCTAAAATTTTCAAAGAAACATACCTGACCTTAATGAAAGAACACACTATGGATATCAATTTTTATTTGAAGGAATAATCTCTATCTTCAATTTTGTAGTCTTAGAAAGACGCCTGAAAGATATTGAAATTTTGAAATATTCTAAAATTCACATTCGAACCTATGCCATCTCTATGAGTGTATTTCATTCTATTCTTGGAGCGGTTTTTGAGAAAAGTTTGAAAGTGTCCGGGAGCACCCCTAAATTTTAAAGAATTTTTTTCAAAATCTCAAAGATTCGACTCGAGGCATATCGACACGGGTTTCTTCAATTTGGAAAATATCATATACATGGTTTAGGCGCTACAGAACCCAGTTTACAGAACCCAGACGGACGTTTTGGAATAAAACACGAACTTTCGGTATCTGGCGGCCAGAAACCATGTATTTGAACATGTATTGTATATTGAAATCTCGAAATCGATTTTCCGCAGCATTACGTATTACTCCGTAAATCCGTACGTATACGCGTAAGTAAAAATTAAATATGTCTAAAAGACCATGTTCCGTGTGTACAAAAAATCGTTCAAACAAGTTTTGTAAAATTGCCAATGGAAATTCAAAAATTAGAAACGGCGGGTTTACTTTTAGTAGGAACGTGATAAATTGTTGAAGAAATTAAAATGTCTTAGAAAATAGTGTTTTGAAGTGTGAATGTGACAGGTAAGAAGTAATTATATTAGCTGTTAAAAGAAAATACTGGTATGAATTTTTCCAAAAATATAAAAAATACAATACATGTGGTGAAAAATCAGAAAGTGTAGAATTTTCCTCACAGTGGCTCGGATTGCATCTTTGATGTACGCTCCAATTACGTCCTATCATATAAAGCATTTTCTGCGTACAAAAATATGTCTGACACAAAGATGTGTTTGACATAGCAAAATGTTTAATTATTCACTGTTACAAAAGGCAATAAAAACAAGCAATGTACTAAAATTCAAGTTGAATGTTTCGTCACATTTTACAATGCATCGTGCATGTTTGGCTACGGGATAGTGCATGTGTGCATGCATGTTATGGAATTTGACAGTGCATGGAAATCCTGTCTCTACTTCTGATTTTCACGTTTTCATATATGACAGTATGTAAGGAGTAATATACATCTTGCCGAGAACGTTATGAAGTACTGTGTCAAATTCATTTGGTGGGAAAAGAAACATTTTTTTTAATATCTCTAATGTGGTTAAAATTTCCTTTTTAGATGTATTTTGTAATATAATTCAGTTTCAAACACAAAAACTTCAAATGATCTCTTATGAAGTTTTCCTCTAAATACCAAACGTTTAGTTGGTACATGGGCTCATAATTGTTTCTTTTCAAAAACGTTCATAAGCCATCTCGGAACCGGGATCAGATTTTGTAACAAAAATATCCAGAAGACAATGATGATTGATTCATTCTTTCGTTAGTTCTTCCGGGCGCCTCAACTGCTTCGGGCATTAGTCCCGTGAGCGTAGTGCTTGTTGTTACCGCGGGAAGTGGTGGTAATCATCTCTCGCTTTTGTGGCGAGATCTAGTGCCGACCTTCAGATCGGCTCCCTCAACCAGCTATCTCCACCAGTGGGGCACAGACCCAGCAGGGACAAGCTCTGAGCTCCCGACCGGTCTCACGGCATGTGTTGTAGTGTAATGCATGTAAGTAAGGGATGAAGATAGTACAAGGAAGAGGAAGGAAGTATCACGCGCGGTGCTCGTCCTTTTTGTAGAGAATTGGTCCGGCATTCGCCTGGTGTTGATCGGAGAAACCACGGAAAAGTAACGATCAAGCACCAGGACTCTAGAATTCTCTTCCAGACAGCATCTGAATTCCAACTATCTAGCTAGTGACGAAAGTCCTGCCACCTTCGGGACTCGAACCCGAGGTCCTCCCGGACAGAGGCAATGAGTGACATCAATTGGTGCCTCCTAACCCGACCAGAAGAAAAAAGATTTTGTTTGTCTATTTATTTCTCAATTTCATTAAACTATTAGGGGACAGTATTAAAAATGCGAATAAATTGTAGGTGTTTTTTTGTAAAACACAATATTATTATAAATAATACAGAAAAGTAAACCACACTATTTTGTTAATTGATACGTCCTGTAAATACTTCGTTCAACAAAACTCTGTAATTTTTTTTTTAATTTTGAGAAATATTGTTATTTACTGAATGCAAGGATTACGGATTTTAATTGTAAATTAATTGTGTTTTCGTTTTTGATAGGCAAATGAATGGTGTCAAATAATGCCATTGCTACACACAAATTCAATGATGTACAGGACATTTTACGCCTCGGGTACATCCGGGTACACAGATGCTCAGTTTTAGTTATGTTATTGTGCTTCTTCTTCTTCTTCTTCTTCTTCTTCTTCTTCTTCTTATTATTATTATTATTATTATTATTATTATTATTATTATTATTATCATTGTTGTTGTTGTTTCTAAATCGAAACACATTTAGGAAAACTCGTAGCACTGTCCAGTGAGTCCGTCTCATGGAACAGGGGCTTGGTGCAGGAGCGCCCGAGGTACCAACACTGAGGCTCTAGGTTCGAAACCTAACTGCTGAATAGTTTGAGTTGTGATTGTGGCATCAGTTCCTCGAGTATTACGTCAATATTCTAACCCTTCAATAACCTCTCGTCGTGATCGATAACTGTCTACGAGATTTTATTCTGTCTGAGTAATTGAGGAGTTGGATTCCAATATCTAGAATAGTGGTGCACGCACTGAAAAGGGGTACGGGGGGGGAGGGTACGGTCGCGATGATCTGAGTCCCACTTTACGCTGATTAAAGACATTTGAAACGATGGTTAAAGCCACAAGTACTTAAGATGCGAGAAGAAGTCCTTGCTGCTAATGGATTTGGAGGCGAATCGCAATTTATTGCAGAAAAGAGAGGGAACTGGAAGTTTGTGATCACTCAGTTACCAGAATCAGAATTATCTTTAGAGCATTGCAAGATGTATACTTACTCGATATCTTCAAATCTTCCATCAACTTTAACAGATTCCATTATCATTGTCGGATGAGCCACTATGCGTTATATGAAAAACTTTTTTCTAAAGAATGGTATAACTGTAGGCTGCATATGCAACACATATCTATGGTGTAGAAAGTAAAGAGCAAATAGTAAGAATTCACTAAGTAAACAAAATTGCTAAAATCTAAAATTTCTATTTTTATAACGCTATATCCAAGTACGATCTACTGATAGTAGTACTTCCTGAACTTCTTGATGGAAGAATGGATACCAAGTGCTCATCATCTATTCATCCCGGTGAAAGACATCAATTTTATTTAGAGTTCACTTTATGACTGATTCTCACGAAAGGAAGGCAGAAATCTATGATCGAATGATAAAGCTCCATCAGAAAAATTCACTTGTAATTGGTTAAAGTTATTCGGGAAAGTCACTGCACAGGAGACTGTGAATTCTAG